CGCGCTACCTCATATAGTTCTCGAGATATCGCCTGTTGCTTCTGAAAAACAAAGACCATAGAGCCATACCAGTCCGCGAATTCACTTTCCCCCTATAGTTTTTGTTGCTCTAGAGCATCATATGGCATTACAGAAAAGAGTAAATTAAGTAGGGGGAGGACAGTGGGGAAAGGAAGGGACAGTAGCAGACATGTTCTGCATATGCACTGTAGGAACGCATCAATTTAAGCCCCCCCCCCCCCGCTATCTCCAGCCACTGTTACAGTTATGTGTCTACCAAAACAAATCAACCATTTACATTTGATAATTAGAAAAAAGGCTTGTAAATTTATTCTATTGCATAGTCATACTCAAGTTCACTAGGCACTAAAAGTACTTGTTGTAGAGGGGGGGGGGGATTGTAAGCGACCCAACCACACTAGGCCACGTTTGAAGGCCCAGCTAGCAGGAGGGGTTCAGGGTAGTTGTGTGGTACTGCACTGAACAAAAATTGGGGTACGCCCTTTTGAGAAAATCAGGAAACAAATCAGAAAAATCATTTAAAAAATAGAAAAATAGAAAATGGAAAATATCAACAAAAATCAGAGGAAAATGCACGGTAGGTTGCCTAAATCGGCCCAAATGCACATACAGGGATCTCGAGACAAATTCATTATCCCTTAGACGGCTCACCATAGAGGCGGCTAATTGAAAGCGACCCCCCCCCCCCTGTTCAAGGAGCAGAATCGGTCACCTACCTACTAGGCGGATCCTCATTCATTATGATTTCATTCTCTATTTGCTACGTCTTCTGTTATTCTAATACATTTCGCTCAGCTACCTCGTGCATAATGTTAACGCACGCGGCCCTACGTAATAAATGGTGTCGTGTCGTGTCGACCCAAGTGTATATACGGGATGGGTAAACGAAACGGCGACCTGACGTTCTGGCACCCCGCGCGCGGCCCGGCTCAGGTTTGTTTAAAAAGAAGCAACCTAAAGCCACAGTGTGAAAATAACTGTCTTCTAATGTAGTTTTTTAGAATCACTTGACGATTTCCTATAAAACTTTACATTTTTAAATAGTTTTTACAGCCGATATTTGCAGAGATACTTTATTAACAGTGGCAGGCTTTAGAAGAGAAACGCCATCAGGGGAAATGGGGGAAGGGGGCATTCAATGGTTTAGTAGGGGAGCGAGAAAGGAAGGGGTAAAGTGCGCCCGCACACACACAAGTGTGCCCACACACATCATACAACGCAGAGAGTTATGTGCGTCGGCGGCTGACAGGTGATGCAACAGTACTCGTGTGTCACAACAGCACACACTTTTGTCCGACCGTGCGGACGAGCGCAGTAGTCGCCGGAAGCAGCGCAACCATCGCCTTCCTGTCCCGCCCCTACCCGGAGTGTAGCCCCCCCCCCTCCCTTCATCACCTCTACCAAAAGCCAATGAGCTGCCTCGCCCAGCGGTCCTTTTTTCCCACCTTTTTATTGGGGGGGGGGGGGCATAACAGTGTTTCTGAAATGTTCAGTAATAACTTCAGATTCAGCATTATCTGAGAATATTTCCGTGAGCTCTGATGTAATCAACTTCCACATTCAGACCAACTGCATGCAAAATTCCTTTGATGGAGATTAACAAACATTCATGCATATTAAGGTTTCTTGCGGTTGATACACTTACCCGCTCACTTCAGAATTCGTTGACAGGCTGGTGATCAAAAGGCATGGCACTGGTAAAACAAATGTTTAATTCCGCACGTCAATTGATTTTCACGTTCTGATGTGGCAAGTTGATACACATTATGACGCCTAGCTAGATTGCACAAGGTAACATATTGCACCTCTACATGAATTGGTTCCCACTGTTACCATGGTCCAATATGTGCATAAATGTGCAAGCTCTCAATGTTTTAAAAAAGAAATAGATGCTTCACATTACGTATGTATGAAAGTCAAGTAGACCACAAATACAAGAATCGTGACTGTTTTCTTACAAATGGACCGTACAATCTTGATCTTTAACAACCAAGCATTGTAGATGGAATAGCGTGCAAAATCTCTCCATTTGTTTTACCAGTAAGAATAACCTCAACCAGCGCATGCCCCTGACAGACAAAGACGATTTTCTCCTGAACTATTTCACGACGAGACGCGCACTGCAGGTCAGAGTTGAGAGTTCATCTGACAAAGGAAATGTTATGCCATCACTATTCAAAATAATTATTAGCGCATAGTTTGCGCACAAGATAAATTGTTTGCTGTAGAGCCAAAATTTGAAACACCGCATAAATACAACAACAAACAACAACAACATCACCATTATCAACAACAACAACAAAAGAATCAACAGTGTTACCAGCTATTGGGTGAATTTATTATGCGATTAATTTTTTTCAACAGCATGACATTTACCGTCTAAACTCTCTACACTCCGCATAGTCTCAGCGTCAGCGTACTGTCCATTCGCATTTTCACGTCGTTTTTTTTCAGCGTGGTGTTTCAGCAGCGCGTGGTGGTCAGACTGCCTTGTCCACCATAACCTAGTCGCAGGGCGCAGGTGTCGCTTCGCCAACGTCCTCGTTGAACGTCCGTGCTGCAAATGTGAGTCCAAGTAGGGCCGTAGCGAACAAACTCAAAACAAGCCGTGTGGAGCCGACCCGACCCGTCCACCCGGCTCGTTTTATTCTCACCCCGCCTGAAAGTTTGGCCGTTACTTTCAACTCGGGTGGTGGTGTTACAAGGACCCAGACCGCTGACCGCGGCCGCAGCCGGCCTCGACCGGGTCGGCTTGTGTGGGGCTTTGGGCAGTACGTGTTCCACACATTATTCGGACGGGTTTACGCTATTTCGCAAAACTTGTGTCTCGTATGTCAAAAAACAAACTGGGTATTTTCCAAATAGGTTAGGTTGTGAGGAAGAACAACTGGAAATTGGAAGGCGGCAGCAGCCACTACATTGTGACTTCCGCTTCCTTATTCTCCCCAGCATTTTTGTTTTTCGTTCTTGGCATGAATAATATGGTTTCTTATGTGAATAAGCTATTTCAGAGAAATGGAAAAGAAGAACAGCACGAATAACTAGGAGGCCTGTGATTCGTCGCTCAGTTGGAGGGGGAAACCGCGCGACGAATCACGGGCCACCTTGTTATTAGTACTGTTCTTCTTTCCCATTTCTCTGAAATTAGCTTATTGGAAATGTTGTCGACGGTGGTAGTTGGCCTGAGCTCATTTGACTGACTGACCATCGCCGGCACCTGCTTGGTCGCCAGACTTTAAATTTTTGATCACAACCGAGTACATGTCGCAGGACACCAAAGTGAACGTGTTGTTTTTTATTTAAGGGTGCCTCTCGCATCCTCCTCTCTCTCTCACCCCCTCCGGGCGAGCGGTGTCTCTGGCAGCGCGGAGTATAGCCGCTCGCTTCGCCTCTCGCCGCGTTGGCAGGCGAAGGTCCTGAAAATGTGCATTCCGAAACGGAACAGGGCATGTTCTCAGCGGTTCTCAGTCTCCGAGGCCTAGGCTGGCACCTCTCCGATGACGGGCACGGCAAGGGGCGCTCCGGCCGGACTGGATGCCACCGTTGGCCGGCGTCGCGTCGGAGGTCAGGGAGGAGTCAGAAATCGCGACCTCGCATGGTCCTTCTTTGAGCCCAGGCG